AATGTGAATTCCTCTCTGCAGTTATTTGCAGATAGAGAGAAATAGAAACCATTTGGACAGTGCCTTTCACATTCTAACAAAATGCCACCCTATCAGACATTTAATAAACCACCATGGGCCCATTTGAAATTCTGATGATATTCTCTAACCATCAGAGCAGTGATTTGTCTGCTTTGTTTGAGATTTTCCTCTCAAGATGCAACGGAACCAGCAACAGAAGCTGGTTAAAAGGCAGTGTGCTCTGAGACTCAGTTTAGAGGCACTTTATACAGAATAGCTGAGAGCAAGCAGAGACACAACACGCTCAGTATGTGGGCTTCTCTACATGCATAATTGTTTTTTTAAGTTTTTTAAGTTTGTTTTATTTGCTGGCCTCCAGCTAAGTTAAGGAAGGCAGCAGACTGAGGACTGTGACAGACTGGTCGTTTAGAACAATCGTATTGTGTTGGTTTTTTGCAGACATACAGAAAACACCAATCTCCTGGCTTTCTCATGTGTTGACTGATTTTCTCCAATCTCTTAACAGCTCATCATGTAGATCAGTTATTTGTCACCACAATGGTGGCAGGTGGTGAAGCTTTGACAGTCAGTGAAAGAAAAAGACACTGCTGCAGTCCAGACTTCACTCTGTCTATCTGCTGAGGCTCCCTGCCTAAGCCTGTCTGCCTACTAACATCTATAGGAGTAGGGAGGAGAGAGATGAATAAAAGCTCATCTGCATCAGTTGAAGCAGCAAATATAGGTGGAGCAAATTATCTTATGTGGGGAAATGTGAGCTCCTTTTTGCTGCTATTCACAGATGGTATAAAGAAATACCTTTTACACTTAAAAAGGGCAAAGGTTTCCTAAAGAAATGCTACCGAGGCTAGCTACCAACAAAGTTAACAGCAAACCCAACTTGCCTTTCAAAGGTCAAAGGTGATAACTGAAGCAATAAGCAATTGTATTTACAATGAGCCGACCCATTTGGTGCAGGATTCAGATGGATGACATTGACCCTGAAATTGCAGTAAACAATATCCCAGTTGCCAACTTTTAAATGAAAAATGCATCCCTTTGGGGACTGTCCAAAATGTTGTCCTTCTTTGTCACTGCTTATTGTTAACTCCACCCATGTTTTTCCATCAAGGTCTTCTTACAACTCTTTGCGTTACATCTAATTCATTATCTCCAATAATTCCACTCGAGTTGGCATTGGTAGTGGGCTGAACACTATCACTTTGAAGATACTCAAAGAAATCTGGAGGTTGGGAGATAGAATAAGCTAGCCAAACGTATCTCAGTCCTCATAACAGCTGGAGGCTACATTAACCTTTATCAGGACAACACACGTTTTTTCTTGACTAAACTGTCAGTGATTGGGTTTAATTGAAGGTAATGTTACTAGGTGCCTTGTTTCGACATTTTAAAGAGAATGTTTGGAATAGGAAAGTCTCTATTGTTCTGCTGCATCAGTTTTTAAACCATCAATTGTGAGTCGGACAGTGCAGTACTCTTTTAACAGTTGATAGTGTGGCAGTAGATATAATTTTCAGGGGATATTTTGAACTTACTACCTGAAATAAGACGTTAGGTTAAAGGGGACCTATCATGCAAAATGCACTTTTCGATGTATTTTATACATAAGTGTCCCCGGTGTGTCAGGGAACTCACGCAGTGTCAGAAAACAAAACCCTCTCTCTTTTGCTCCGTACCCAAATCTCTAAAAACGGGGGTACAACGGAGCTGATCCAGTTGTGCGTCCGATATGACGTAATATCGGCAATGCCGACCCACGGCATTATCAGAAAGTTGCCTTCAGAAACAATGCCTGATGTGTTTTGGACGTAATATGGTCTTTGTTTACATTAGCAAGCACCGCTAACACTCAGAGCTAACGCAGTACTGGAGAGAGAGAATGTGTAAAAAAGCAGGATTAATTAAAAGCAAATTAATCTCACATTTTTTATCTGTTCTAAATGTACCTTAGAGGAATATTTTTTAATACTCTTATCAACATATGAGTGGACAAATATGCTTTATGCAAATGTTTGTTTATTATCATTGGAACAATGACAAATATTCTCCTGAATATTCTCAACACAACAACCTGGAACCTCTCTCTCTCTCTTCACTCTCTCCCAACCCTGTGTACTTCTTTGCACTGAGCCAGTTGCTCAAACAGACAAGCCTGTTTACAGTTGTCGGCAAAATGCCGCTCCTCTGTCTTCATAACAGTCAAAGCATGAGACTGAAGTTCCCACTGTGGGTCAAAATAATGCGCTGTGATGTGCAGTCGACACGTTGGATGCGATCCGAATTATCTCACGCAGCCCCTCGTCCTCCACAATGTTAATTGTCCTGCAAGCTGTAGCCACCATGGGTAGCGCACCCATTTAGCTATCGCTGTTGAAAGCTTGCTGCTCGTAGACGTGTCCAGGCGTCTCCCCGGCAAACTTTCAAGCGTGGTCTGCCGCAAGCGAGCGGCAGGAGCGGGGCTGTCAGCATCAGCTGTGTGCTTGGCTTGCTGTTTAAAACACCTTTCTTGTATCCATATCTCTCGCTAGAATCTCCCACCATCCAATTAACAACAACAACAACGTCAAGCCTTTGGGCTCTGAAACTACGGGGCGGGCCGAGGACAAATACACATGCTTTAATCGCACGTTCAAATAATTAGTGGTGTTATTAACGCGTTAACTTGACAGCCCTAATTTGTATATATCTGAGACCCATAATATATGCCTAAAAATAGCATAATAGCAGACCTTTAATGGCAGTCACATTTTTTTACACTTTCATTCAGTTACAGTTGAAATTCAAAGTGAAGTAGAAATTAAATAGACTTTCTCTTAGTTGATATTTTGATCAGATTGCCCATCACGTATCTAAGTCTGTGTCTGAGTGAGAGGGATAAATGCACAGCCCTACCATCACAGCATGTGTTGAATAAAGGTTTTGTCTTCACAAGCCACTTGACTGGTTCTATAAAACCAGTGTCAGTTGCTTGTTAAAAGAGTACAACCTGGGAGATGAGGCATGTTATGTATCCCAGACGTGTTTAACAGCTTAGATAAAGGCATATTTTGAGAAGCTAGCAAGGCTTCAAAGGAAGAGGCAGCAGGTGTCACAGGAGGTGTCAGAAGAAACTGAACTCGCTGGACTTTGATCACGCTCACCACTGAAGGCCAGAAAATAAATGCACTTTAAGATAAAGGTTTTTCTAAAATATGGGTTTTATAATTTCCTTTTGAAGTCTGTCTGTATGTATGTCTGGATACAATTATTTCTATTCCTAACCAGTGAATCGTTACAGGTTCATGCCGAGCAGGAAAATAGTTCAATTATAATTAATGCTAATAAATGCTAAAAGAAACATCAATTCAAAGATGTCTGAAATTTGACAAAAACTGATTATACTCGCTTGTATTTTCTATTTCTTTTTTTGGTTTCTTTTTGAAGTGTAAACAAGATATTAAAATGCAAATTGCTGTCACCACAATTGATATTTTTCACAACATTGTGTTATTTGTAAAGGAAATGTGTGTTTGTGGTGCATCGCCTGATGGAGCACAAAGCAACAGGCCTGTGGGGGGAGATGACAGGTTTTAGGAGGGAGGGAGAGGAACAGGACATAATCGGGGAGTGTGGAGCAAGAGGAGTGACAGTGGGGAGTAATTGTCCTCTTTTAAAAATGTAGACTCCGACAACGGGAAAAGAGAGTGAGATAATGAGGGGGGACTTGGATTTCTAGCTGTGGTAAATGTTCAGTCACAGCAACGAGGCCACACACTCTACTCATTTCATCCTTTTAAAATCCACCACTGCCTCTTGTTTGCCTAACAAGCCTTTGTGTGAACGTGCCAGAGTCTGTGTGTGCGTGTGATCGCTGGATTTCTTTGCTTAATTTTGCAGTCGGGTCATTCCTGTCTGCTCACTTTACTCCCTTTATCCTTATTTATTTGTCAGAGGTTGTGTTCAGGGACGTTCCTTGTCATTCGTCAGCGTGGCCCATAAAACACACTGTCATGACTGACTGGCCACGCTCCAAACTCATTACCGATTGGCTGACAGAGCGGGTCGCTCTGTTCTGCTCTGCTGTGTTTGACTCCTGTTTGCCAGACATTTCAGGCTCAGGAAACTTTAAATGCGGTGGTGTCTTTCCTCGCGCCACTCCTCTCAGCCTCCCGCTCAAGGTCACATGAATATGGATTTACCCTCTCCTTCCAGCGCACACATACTGATGATGAAGTCTAAGATCTACTCAGAGGGATTATAATTCAGGACGTAGGTCTGATCCGGGCCGTCACTCTGTTCCTCTGTCTGTCTGGGGGTGTGTTTTAAGTCGGAAACTGGAGGGGAGGCAGGGAGAGGAGGACGAGGGGAGGGGGAGGTAAGAGGAAAAAGAAAGATGAAGAGGACTACTGTAGGAGCAGGGCGCTGAGATGAAGAGCGGAGGAAGGAGAATGGATGATGATGATGGTGGAATCAGGGGAGGCTGGAGCCGGGTGGCAGGGTGTCATGTAAGAGAAAAGGAAAGAGACTGGGAGATTGGAAAAGGGCGACGCACCATGTTATTGAGTTTCTGTTACGGTTGATCAGCAGTATCCATTTCATCATATTGAGCCTGCTGCATGCCACAGTCTGCTGCAGAACATCTTTCCTCATCAGTGTTTGTATACACGCTGTACGCCTCTGTGGTGTGTGTTTGTTATGTGTATTCATCCAGACTAACAGTGTGCACATTGAGCTCATGTGTATATGTGAACCTGGGTTTTGTTATGCATTCGCCCGCTAAAGTGCTTCTTTAAACTTCTCTAATGGTTTCTGTGTTTCCATTTTGGTTTTGTTTTACCTTGCTTGCTTTAAAAAAAAAAAATAAGCGTTCTCCTCTCTTTCTTTGTTTGTAATTCAATCTCTAATCAGATTATCCCTTGCTTCAATTCACTTAAAACCAGTCTCTTCTCCTCGCTCTCCTCCTTCTTGCTCACCGCTGTGTCTCTTTGTGTTTTTATTCACAGAAAACAACAAGGTACCTTTACAAAGGTCTCGCTCTCGGCAGAATATGAATTTAGGTTCAGCGGTGATGAAAGCTCCCCCTCCCAAGGAGGCCCACAATGACTCTGAGGGTCATCCGTCTTCGGCCCGGGCGAAGGAGGCGGGCCGCAGGTACAGGAACAACCCGGCTCCGAGCCACTGGCTGAGCAGGGAGAGGGCGGGTGACAGAGAGACGGTGAGGAGCACTGAGAAAGAGATGGAGGTGGAGAAAGAGCTTCCGTCCCTTCTGCTGTCCTCCACTGTTCCTGCGGTGAACAGCTGTAGCTCCAACGGAGAGTCCGATGTGGAGGCTCTCCTGGCCAAACTCAGGGCCTTGTGAGGTTTGTTTTCACATTAGCTCTGAATTGGCAAATATGTACAGCTGTTTGTACCTGCAGATATTAACATACTGAATGTGACCAAAAAGATTAAACTTCATAAAGTCATCAAAAAAGCAGAACATTTAGTAATAAAGATTATGAAGGATTTATGAGGTGTAAAGTAGCAGGGCAAATCATTTAAGATTTAGATTCACTGTAGCTAACCAAACAAAGATACTTTTTAAGAGCTTCATAGAACATATGTTTGTATAAAAATACCATTTGAGGACCAAGCTTTTAACACTTAGACATCAATCACTCAGTTGTTCAAGCTCAGATAGATGGTCAAACAGAAGGACACTTCAAATAGATAATATATTACAAAAGTTGTGATCGAATAAAAACACTCTCGAACCTGATCCTGTAAAGTGCACTACCCAAAGCTCTTGGCTATCATTTATATCTTCCTTAAAAGTTGAATAAAACTTCATACTCAGAAAGTAAAACATGCGACATAGCTAAGCACTTATTTTGTAATCCAGAACTATGCAATTTCCCAAATAAATTACAGCTGATTCCTAAAAATGCTAATGAACCTTTATCCTATTATCTTGTCTTACCTTTAGTTTAGTTTACGATGTATGTTACACTTAAAAAACGTAAAGCTAATTTCTGCTTTTATTACTTTCATTATTGAATTATTATCCTCTCTCATTTTGTGTTCTTGTGTGAGTCCTTTCCATCCTGTGATGGGGTGTCTTTTATATTCAAAGCATTGATCGCATTGTTTGTATTATCTAAAAATAAAAAATCCCAAAAATATGTATTCTATAAAACTATAAATATAAAAACACAAAAGATGCAAGTAATGACATATGGTTGTATTACAGTATGTGTTACAGTTTTAAGAAGTTGGTTTTGATTGAACTATATCTGTCTCTGTCATTGATCGTGAGAACATCTCAGTGAGAAAAGTCTGCAGAAAGGGAACAGTATCGGAGAGTGTTTTGTTCACAATGTGGCACGAAAAAAACAAGTTATTCCATCCAAAATGTAACCAGAATTGATGCTGCTTTTTCTCTCCTACATTCCCACCAAAATGACTCACATTTGTACCTTTTATTTGCTCACTTTTATAGTCCCATTTGCAATAAACTGAAGAAAGAAACATTTTCTGTTGTCAGTTTCATAAATTACAAAAGCTTCAAACGCACGACTGAAATTAATACAATGTTTGTGTTGCCGTTAGCAATAATTAATGTTGGTTTTGTTCTCAGTGTAGAAACACAGATCACGCCCCTGCTTTGGCTGCCTTAGAAATATGCATTGATCAAGTATACGACTTCATTAAAAAGAAAAATGACTTTTTTATCCAGCTTTCAGTTCAGTTGTATATGCTTTTACTTGTCATGAAGATATATCTGGAATTAGTAAGCAGCAGTTGAAAGGGGATGAAAAACAGACGCTTTATTGGAGATGACATGAAAACATCCAGGTGCAAAGGCCTCAGAGCATCTGTGTCAAAACTCTCCTGTACTGATGTTCAAGTCGTCACAATATTTTCTTCACCTTAACTGTTTCTCACTCGGCCTAGCTTTGTGTGAGTGCGATATTCAGTTCATAATTGTATCATCACTGCTGTAGTAGGGCGATGTGCTGCTGGGAGATCACGGTAAGTGTACATGTCTCTCTGTTTTTGTTTCAGTGGTCACTATCACTGACTTCTGACTTGTATGACCCTCTGTTTCACTTTTTATATATGTTATAATCGGGCTCTTCTAAAATGTATTGACTTGTTTGAACAGTGTAAAGATACCATACACGCAGTGCCCTTGTAGAAGTTTTTCTGTTACTCAGTTCACAAACTGCTATATAATGACTGGATTTGCTCATAACATTACCTCTACATTATCATGTGTACACACAATAAAAAAAAGCCCAATTTATTATGGTCTGTGCATCTGTATATTGTTAAATTTCCTAAATAAAAGTAACACCTGATGCTTGTGAAAAGCATGTGAACTTTTATCACTGGCATTTATTAATTAAACAAGACATTAAAAAAGGCGCTGTGCTGAACATATGCCTCTTTAATATTGTTTTTACATTTTCTTTTATTTGTTTATTCCACACATGGCAGTTATTTTAAAACAAAACATGTACCCTTATACTGGTTGCATTTGTATAGTGCATGGTGGAAAGGAGCAGGGAGAAGAAAATCTTATTTGACCTGCCCCTTCTTACAAAAAAATGAATTAACCATTACAAAGTAAAATAAAAGCAATATTCTTTCAGTTACAGTTGCTTACAAATACTGAAACATAAAACCAACACACAATCAAAAGTCAACTTCATACTGTCTAAATATGCTTTCTTTATACATTTTCTTAAAGATAAAAATGTTCTTACAGCCCTTTAAATCATTCGGTAAATAATTCCACTTCTTTACGCTAACTACAGAGACACACATCTGCTTTAAATTATACGTGCAAACTGATGCTTAAAATTTAATTTCAGTTGCTGATATAAATCAGTTGTACATACATGTATAGTAAATTAAATCTAATAGTCCCATATAATGTAGACCTATAATGTAGACAGAAATGACACACTTTCTGACCAGGTGTGCTTGTACAATCCTGCAGCTGGTGAAAACCTTCGTTCCCACGGAGAGCAACTCCACGTTCCCTCTGGAGCCGAGGCAGAGACAAACTCCGGTGATGCAGCCCGAGGTTTGGTGACAGCGTCGGGTTGTTGTTGCTCCTTCTGTGGCCTTGGTTCCGCTGGAGCTGGCAGCGTACGCGTTTCACAATCAAATCACTTTCTTTAGAAACCTCTCATGGCTCTCTGTGTGGTCACCTTCAGTGCGTCAGCTTTTTGTAAGACCGCTGCCTCGGCGCCTCGGAGTTCATTTGTTTAGTTTCTTCCTCTTGAGAATTTATTTTTTCTTTCTCTGTCCCCGAATATAGTTTATCTTCCAGTTTCCCGAATGTTATATTTATATCTGAGATTGTGTGTAGGTGTTCTCCTTTGGTTAACAGGACATTTCTGATGACAATTACAAGTTGATTACTGCCTCTGATTTTCATGCGATTTAGAATAAGTGCATTTAATACATGTTTGCAGAAATGTGCCCTGTAGAGTCATTTAGAGAAAACTTTGTCCCATCAGATGTCATTATGACGTTTGGGTGGGTCAAGTAAGAAAACTGCCTAATTGATAACACGAAATAATAAGCAGGACAGGAGTACATTTTCTCCACAGTATTAGCCTGGAGCTGCATGCATTTTGACAATACATCTTGAATTGCCTGCTTGCGTCAAGCTCTAAAAAAAGAATGACTTTTTCTTACAGCATCTGTGCAGGCCTTTGTGTTTGAGAGGGAAGTGTGGAAATGACCAGCTCTACTCACAGACAAAAGAAATTGAGAGGAGAAGGAGCGCATAAGGAGGGTAGGATCTTGTTATGCTGAGGGAGCCTTCATTACTCACAGGCCTGTGTTCCAGCCATGAGGTTTATCTGTCGGCCTAATAAAGTGGAGCTCAACATATTGTGTAGCAGATTGCAATCTGGTCTTCTTTGATTGGAGATGAAGTTAAAATGCATAGAGGAGGGGGGGGGAGTACAGAGCAGATCAACAGATTTGTCACTATTTATTTTCCCCAAGAGTCAAAGCTCTGCTGTATTTATAACTGGCTGTATACATCATGTTGTCGAGTTTTATGGTGCAAAAATCACTTTCTATTTTCAGGTTGTTAGGCGGAATCATTTTTTAATCTACTGCTGCGGTGTCAGCCACAGTTATGGAGAGTTGTTAGGGAGAAAGTAGCCATCCAGCCCTGTCTCCTACAAAGATATGTTGAAATGCTTCAAATGTTCCTTGCCAAACGAGGAAATGTTACTGCTGACTGAATCACGCTCACTGACAACAGCTTTTGCAATCCACAAAGCATGATGTTCTCACATTGTTGGTACAGGCTACATGGTGAAAGCAGCTTCAGTTCTGTGTCAGTGTTTACTCTAGAGGCGTTCAGTCACACTACTGTGCGAACACTGCACACATTCACTGTAGTTAGCCATGTAAGACTGTTGCAAATTCACTTAGCCTAACAGGATTCTTTCAATCGCAGCTCAGCGAGTGAATTGTGGGCTGTCACATTGCCTGTGTGGACTGCTTATTGATTGAAATTAAATCACATTTCATCATACGTCTGTGAGATGAAAAACTCAAATGTAGAGAGGTCGTGTGCCTTGCCATTTCTTCCTAGAATCTATGTTGTCTGTCTGGAAACTGTTCCCAGCAAACAAATAGTCTAGCACATAACCCTCATTCCTCCATGTCTTTTGAAGCCCCACTGTCTTAACGTTTAGGATCTAAAAGAAAAATTGTAGCAATTGCCCTGTTTATCAATCCAAAAATCCTTGAGCTCTCCCAAAACTTTTAGCCTCAACTTATAATAAATTGAAGTGCTCGGAGAACAGAGTTTTTGCCTTTAACATGTGCTTCATTGTGGAGCTGCAGTACAGAGCATCATGTGGCAGGACCTGACTAATCACTGAACAGAGACGGAGTCACCTTGTAGCTGGGCTCAGATCCAAGAGGAGGCAGCTCTGGTGGTAAACCAACACCTTAATAGTGTCATTCAGGGACAAATCTGGCTCTCATTGTTCTCTCCCGTTAATAGATCAGACCAGACTGACGAAATGTTCATGTCTGTGCAAAGTGCTTATGCAGTGTTTGTGGTTGAACACTTAAATCAACAATGGATTTTTCCTACCTTCTTTATTATTCTTCCCCCATACCTGTCTGCAGCCTTCTGTTGCAGCAGTGTAGCCCTCTATCCTCCTCGCTGGGCTCCATCTGTCCCTGCAGGTGTTTCTGATGTGTGTCTTGTCTGTATTTCTTTGATCACTGTTGTATTACACCAGTGTACATTTTGGCCTTTTCCTCACTTCTTTGTCTTTGTTGTTCTGTCTCGCAGAGATATTTTTTTGATGTTTTTGTTGTTAAAAAAGAAAGACAGAATACTCATCCCTCGCCGCTTTTCGAACAAATAGCACATATTTGGCAATCATGCAAAATGTCTCAACAGATATTTAATATCTCACTATCTGTCCCAATGCTCTGATTTATTCCCTCTTCAAACAGCTGAATGGTATCCATCTGTCGAAGCATTCTGTGCGCAGTCACTACAAATTTATATTTATTGGTTGTTTCTTGATAGTTAAATAAGTCTGGCTTGCAGGAGTGGAGACAGACTTCCAGCCTGCATGAACTCAAAAGGAATATAGAAGAGGAGACGGATCACTATAGTCAATAATAGTGCAAATTAGATTAAAAACATCAGCTTAGACAATGGTCATCTCTTTTAATAATTTGTACCTCATGTTCTGATGAAGTACAATTAGTATGTGTTGAAATAATAACCAAGAACAAAAAAATGTCATCTGAAATAGGTTCAGAATTTTTCATATCAAATGCCATACCTTATTTGGAGTTGTAGTAAAACAAAAACAACATAATGAAAGTTGTCTTTCATCGGACAGACTATTTTTTCGATCGAAGAATGAGTGACACTCCAGGAGAGGATCTGCGGTGTGTTTTTCTTTCTATGGCGGTAGTAGATCCCCTGAGGGCTGTGGCACTGAGCAGAGTGACAACTATAAGCAGTGCAGTTGTACTTTGTTGGCGGAAACAGAAGTGAGCACATCTGGCTTTGATCACCATGGTGATAACGGTGCAGGGAGTGACAGGGCAAGCGGAGCGTTGAAGACAGATTCTCCGGGGAATCATTATCCTGTTTAGTAAGTCTAATGAGAGAAAAGGTGTTGCACCTTGGCTAACTGCTGTCCCTGCTAAACACACAAACACATACGCACAAGCTTACTTTATGCAAGATCCAAGTCAAAACAGGCACACTGTGTATTATAGATAAATAAACCCTTGGTGCTATAATTACCAACATAGACACACATTATGTAGAGAGCTCTGAAAGCATAGTATTAACACCCTGTTAACACTCAACCCTAGTCAGAAGGGCATACAATTTGCACCCAAAGGTGGTCTGCGGTTAAATATCACTGTTGTATTCATTTAAAATGTATCACAACACTTGGAGAGGTAAATAATTGCTTGAATTGTTTCTACGAAAGAACAAATGAAACTGGTGAAC